ATGTTGAGGGTGAGAATAACAGCTCAGAGGGAGTACAGCTCTACCCCAAAGAAGCTCCAGTAAACCCATGTGGTACTCTGCCACTTTTCTTTATGTACCAGCGCGTCTCTATGTGTTACAATCAATTTCCGATGTAGGAAATTGCGGGCATGTGTGATCTGCAGGGTACGTACAGAGCGGATGGCCAGCCACACAGCAATGTAGCAGAGGACGATGATGCCCAGAGGGATTATACAGCAGGTGATCATCAGCACCACCATGTAGGACACCATCCCAGGGTCCTCATTGCCACTGAACACATCAGGTCCACAGGATGTCTTCAGACCATGAGGCCAGTACCTGAGGCGCAGACAGAGAACAAGAGAGGGTGTAGGAGGAAGCGAACAATTCATTTAAACCTGGATTTGGTTTTTGTGCGTTTCCTTCTATCTTTATTTATACAAGAGCATTTTACGGGAGTCCTGAGTGAATCCACCTGAAAAGCCGGTCATCTGGAGCTCAGGTTTGAGCTCTGACTGAGTTCTCACTGACTTCTGTAGTCCTCTGTACTGGAGCAGTTTGAGTCTGGCCTGTGTGTGTGATTGTGGTGCAGACATGGCCTTCATTTGCCGCACAGTATTGGTCCATCTTGATCACTGGGCAGTGACCTTGCAGTGTTCCCACTTAGAGGGAGACACTTGCTCGAATAAGATATTGGCTCTATTGACTGCACTGGGCCGCTTGTGGTGTAGAAATGGCGCATGGCCTGTGGTGTGACCATGTACTTGGGAAGGGAAAGATTGTACAGTTTTAACCCCTCCCCTGCTGAAAGATATAGAGTTGAGCTGACTTGCCTAGCAATCATTGATTCCAGTTAGGGGAGAGACAGAAGTGATTGATCATTATTTATGAGGAAAACCCATACCTGCTCCAGCCAAAAACGGGAGGCGCGCACCAGCCGGCAGACCACACCCAGGTAAAGATGATGCCTCCCAAAGCCCATTTGGAATCAAACTTGACGTTTCCAAAGGGCTTGCAGACCACCACCCACCTCTCCCAGGAGATCACAGTGAGAGACCACAGACCAGCAATGCCTGTGGGGAAACAGAATGATTGGATCTAGAGGCAAGCAAGAGAGGGCATTCTTCCAAATACCTGTACACTTTTTTCCTTCTTGTCCTGTATGCATTCCTATGCGCAAAAAATTCTGATCAAGCACAGATTGACGTAAGATTGACGTTATGGCCTCTTCTTACTTGTAGCCTTTTATTGATTTCCTGCTTCTGTTTCAGTCATGTACCCATGACCTGACAGTTATCTTAATTTATTAGGTCAAGAGCACTTGCTTTCAAGACATCATGCTCTTGCTAAAGTAGGTGGGGTGGGTTGTGTTTCCAGCTGTGGTGACACGAATCATGAAGTGAGACCCATGCCAAATAACAGGCATTTCCAATTATTCGTCCCTCCAAGCCGACCAACTAAAAAAGTTCTCAATCCATGTACTGGAGAGTCACAGTTCAGCTGGTCACAAAGGTCACGCTTATGTCATCAATGGGTAAAGAGTTTGAACATGTTTTTAAAGCAATTTAGTAAGTTAATTCAATGACTCAAATCAGGAATGGCCGATTAGAGTCCTTGAGCTCTACAGGGTTTTGTTATTTCAATTTCAGATAATCCCTACACGTCTTAATTAAAGAGGTCACCCAACAGGTCGATTTAAGCTTCAGTGGTCCAAACTGACTTATTCCAAGTGTTAAGGAAGTGACGGTTTATGGGTAAAACCAACTGTATCATCAACAGTGTTGGCCACCTCTAAATTGAAACGACAGGGAAAGCTTGTAATATCATGTCAATTGTTAAACGGCACTCTTTGGCACCTCCACTTTCAATCCAAATGCTTTCGTACCAACAACGGGCGATGTGACATCCTGAATCCTTCGGCTTGGCACTTCACCTTTACAGTTCCTCTTTTTTTTGTTGACCTGTGAAGCTCAACTAGACCTGTGTCTCCTTGAGATAAATGTTTTCTTGCATCTCACAAGCAGAGATCAGCTTTGCACAGGAGCTGCTCACAGACTTAACACATCAGCAGTTATGTGTTAGCAATTACTGAAGGCATGCTTTGCTTGCAGTGTTAGATTTCAAGCCTTACCAAGATTTAGGCAGAGTGCTTACCGCAAGTGGCAACGGTGAAACCCTCAAAGACGCACATGGGGTGGCCAAGGATGAAGTAGCCGAAGATCTGGTTGCAGATGCTGATCGTGGTGGCCAGCAGAGTCTCGCCCAGGTCGGCGATGGCCAGGTTCACCAGGATCCAGTTCAGCGGGTGTCGCAGCTTCTTGAACTTCCAGGTGGCCACCAGCACCAGGCCGTTGGTGAAGACGGAGGCAGTGAACACGAAGATCATCCACAGGGTGGAAAGGTTGTACACCCAGCGGGGTGCAATATGGTAGTTCGGCCCCTCGAAGGGACCTGTGAATAATCACATCACGTCAACTTCACTTGTTGGTTCTCGTGTTTTATTGCATGTAGTTTACAGCATGACATGATCTAAGCAAATACTGTGTGTGTGTTCCTGGCATCCCCCAGTCTGTTTGGATCAGCTATGAAGTGATCCCTAGGTTCTTACTTTGTGTATTGGAAGTGTATTCGTAACAGAATTTGGATTTTATTCTAGCATACCACACATCTACTACTGTAAGTGCCCAGAGTGGTATAATGTAAAGAAACCAATTTAAAAGCCCCAAAAATCGGGATCTGATGGGTAGCAAGCTCATCACAACCGGTGATTGGCCCTTACGTGGGTCTTCAGTTTTGGCCAAAGGTTTCTGCTTTGGTGTAGTGTGTCCCTTGCTCTGTCTCTCACCTCTGGTGTTGTTGGTGTTGGTGTAGGTGAAGATGGAGTCCCTTGTGGTGTCCTCTTCATGTTTTCGACGGGCTGCAAACACAGCGCTCCCCCAGTGCTCCGTCATCTTGTGCCGGCGTTCTTTGTGGCACGAGAGGGCTGCTCTCTGTTTCGCCTCTACTCCTTGTCGCACCCCTGTCTCTCCTTCCCTCTGTTTGTAGCCCTTGGTGTTTGTACGTACCGCTGTCCTGTCTTTCGGAATCTCCCTGTCTCTTTTTCCGCCTCTCACCTTATGCGCAACCAATGGTCTTCCACCCACCGGACGCGGCTCTTTTATACCGGACTGGTCTCGGACGGATTACGGCCAACGTCATCCGAATTAGAGCCGAGGGTGGGAGGGGCGATGGTGTAAGGCAGGAACCAGTAGTGAAGTTTTTCGACTAACTGATCTTTTAATGAGGATCCTGGCATTAATGGGGGCCGAACTGAGCTGTGTCCATCACACACAATCACACAAAGGTAGGCTCACACACACAGGGCCCTGGCATGTATACAGTTTGAGGGTAATCTTCCTTAGATAAGAAGTGGGTCTTTTCTGGCCAGTTCAGGTGAAATCTCCGATCCTTCTCTTTGTTAATCTGATGGACTAATTAACCAGGAAGGCCAAAGTGTTAAATTTTTTTTTCCTAAATCACTCTCCTGCAAATTGGGTTGCCCTCCTTTTTAGTTTTCTTGTGCGGCCTTAGGTAAGTTGAGAGTTTGAAAAGCAGCTGCCAAAGCCATTACCAGTTCTCGTTTAAGCTTTGCTTGCGTCAGATATCATTTGTCTCTGTTACAGTGATGGGTAAGGCTTTAGTATCTTCCAAGAAACTAATCAATTCGGCTGCCCTCAAATCGCATGGTGGCCACAACTTTAGAAGTTGTTGAAACCCCACACTAGCTCTTGAGCTGGGATGACCTCACCTTTGCCAATCTTTTAGGGTGTTTGGTAAACGTTGATTGCCTATCAGGCCTCATGAGAGTTTAAGGTCCGTGATCAACAGCGGCTGTTTTTATCATTGATCGTTTTTCCAAAAGTACTGTGAATGCAAATGTCTAAAAGCATCAGTTGACCAGGAGATGCCTTTAGTATTAAAATAAATGTAAAGTGGGTTTTATTTAATTCATTTATTTTACTGGTGGTTTTGGAACACGGAGGCGGAGTGAATAAAAAAAATAACAGGAACATATACCTTCGGTAGAGTGAAAGGTCACTTTTCTGTGCCCGCACTTTAAAACAACAACAACGCTCCCGGAGAAGAATCCTGAGCTGTATTTTCCTCGATGGCGTCCAGCATCAGGTCTAGCAACCTGACCCTTCAATCTCGGACAGGAGGCCTAAAAGGGAGCCCTATTTTTTTGGATCTAGCTCTAAATGGGACCACATCCATTAAAAAGAGGAATGTTAACGTGATCTTATTTTAAAGACCACCGGAGCAGAGCGAGGTGTTCAGGACACGTTTACATCCGTACTCGTCCTTCTCCTGTGCAAGCATGCTGCCTAATCCCTGCACAGGATGCTGGCGTTTCAGTCTGTGTCCTTCAAATCATCACTCTCATTTAGCCTTACCCTCACCTACTTGGCCTCACTTATCGGAAACTTCTGAAAAGTGGGTCTGACCGGCTTTGTGCCTTCGACCTGTACGTCCAGAAATACCCTTTGGCCCCCTTCTGGCCATAATACAGACCACGCTTGGCATCAATGTGCGGAACTATTTTGTACTAAAGTGGTTCACCTGCACTGTAAAAGACCAGTTAAGTTCCAGTTAACCCTTTGTGTGCTGGCCCTGGAGCATGGGGTCCGTCTTGGGTTGGACAGTGTTATTCTGAAATGTGTGCGTAATAACTCCTAATAAATATCCCAATCATACATTCTGACTTGTTTTTGTAAGAGGTGCTTCAAAAACAGCACTGGAGATGTAAGGGGTTTTTGTCTATCTGTGGGCACATGAGAGTGACCAAGCTGAGGAAGGTCAATTCTCTCTGCAAGATTCCCTACTGGGCTCATTGCTGCCAATCTCTGGCACTGAATTCCAGAGTTGCTCATATGTAGCTTTTCCCCTGGAATTTTGTAAATATGTACTGTGAGCCTCTTCTGAAACTATGGAGGCTGAAAATTAGTCTTCATGTGCTTTTTTATTTCTATTTTGCTCCCTACATAGAATGCAGCATTTTAATATTTGCTATGAAAGATCTATAGGTATTTATTGCTCTTTTTCCTCTGTACACTACATGGCCTTTGAGAATGTCGTGATTTCCAGTCTTCAGTGGTAGTGGTGTCTGATGCCTTGCTGTGTATAGCTGTAATTTCCACCTGCTTTAATAACTGCTTTACTAAACTTTTTGCCAAAATATGGCAAAAAGCGATAGATTTATTATTGCCGTAGCTGATGGAGAACATTCCCTTTGGCGGGGCACCGCTCCCTACAGCCAATGTCATCAAAACCGTACCTCCACGAGCCGCCCGTGCACCGTCAGTTAAACCCCTCGAACGCCTCAAAGGCGCGTTTCTAAAGCGCCCTTTATTTCTGCAAACCCTGACCCAAGCTGCTTATCCGGGCGCTCGGGGTGTCACCGGAGGCGAGCGAGATCCCCGCCGGCCGCTGACCCTGATTGCAAGCGACAGTGCGGGCAGCAGAACCCACGCTAATCCTCCGCGGATTGGCGGTTCAGCTCGGGCAAAGCGGGGTTTAACTGCAAAACCCTCTTCGGAGCTGCCTGTAATCGCTCGCGCCCCAGGGCTCCAGTTTCCACCTTCTGCCCCCTCCGCCTTCCCAGTCTAGACCACAAGGGCGCTGGCGGGCGGATAGGAAACTCAGACCGTCGGGCTCTGGCTGAACGGGAAGGAGGAGTGCGTCGCCCAGACGGCTGTCTGCAGAGCAACCTTTCCTTGTCCGGTCCTTGTTCTCTCATTTAAAATGCCTGTTTGTTTTTTTTTAATCTTGTACTTAACATCCAGAGTTTTTACAGATATATTTTTAGACGTAAATGCAGGGCTTGAGACTGAATTTGTACGCGGGCGGTTTGCACCATATTTCTGTTCAGAGAAGTGGTGGGGGGGAACTTTAGATGATTATTTTCAGCGAATCGCAATGTTGGCGACCGTGTTTGCAGTAGATCAGCACATTTGTTTCTCTCTTTTTCCGTTATCACAGTACAAACGGGATATGGAGATACCTTACTGAAATAGTGTATAACTCAAACTAGTGAAAGAACTGAAGCTGTTACCCTGTTTGAGGTGACCGAAAATGATAAGGCACGGGAGCAGATTTACCATAACTAGAAAAAAGATCATATTTCTAAGGAATTCTTTTTTTCTCTCCTTTTCGATGTTTTTATAAACAATTGTATAATTATTGTTATTACTTGTAAAAGTCCTGGGAATGTCTCATTTCTGTTTGGACTAATATTCAATATATAATATATGATATCGTTTAGATTTTGAAATAATATAAAATTACAAAAGAATTATTAGGGTGCGTCACTTAATTGAAATGTGTTAGACAACTGCTTAAAGTAGTTGAATCATGCCTGAATTAGCATTGTTTTTGGTTGAAAGTATTATCATATAATAAAGAACGGTTTCAGATCTCTCTGCCTAAAATCATTAGCCTTACAATCTACTGTGTTTGAAACTGATTTGTACCTGAAATTTTTTTTTAATGTTAAACTCGTGGAATGAAGACGGTGAGTGTAAAACTGAATGCATGCAGTTCAAACTCTCCCCCCAGCAGTATCCGTTTGAGACCGTTAAGGTACTGTAGATCTCCATTGAGATGCTTTATGCGCGCATTACACTTTGTTTGTTATTGTTGTTGTTTTTTTTTTCAAATTTTGCGTTTGAAGAGGTACGAATGTAATGGAACAACCACACCCGCGCTCTGTCTGTGGAGCTGGTAGATCTCCGCATTCTCCAGCCCTCGGCCCGAGTCCGCACGAGCCGGCGCGGGGCGTCCCACCCTCGACACGCGCGTCGCTTGGAGCCGCGTCTGGGCCGAGGTCCTGCTGCGGAGAACCGGTTCACTTTAACCGAAACCAAGTACAGCACCCCAGGACAAGCCCCACAGCCCAGCCCGCAGCTCTGGTCCGTCCGTGAACGGAACGACTGATCAAAATAATATTCAGTTGGGGAAAATAGTTTTTCTTTTAAATACAGACAACTGTTTGTCTTCACCTGTCTTTACAACATATATAGCGTAGTCGTATTTATATCTCAGCTACAGTCAGCTGCTACCATACTGCGTATGATCTAAAATGATGAATACAGTACGATTTGACTGCTCGGACGTCCTCGGAACTGGCTGCCTGTGTGTGTTTTCTCTTCTGATTAGTCTGACGTTACGGGCAGGTGATTCAATCGGTTAATTTAGCGTGAGGATTAATCTTTTTCCTTCTGCTTTTTTATTTATTTTTGTTTTGTTTTTTTGTGCCCGGACAGGGGGAGATGATAGCCGGGCGGGTCGCCCGTACCCCCGCCGCCACAACTCCGTCACCCGCTGCCCGGCCTGCGCGCCTCAGCTGCCTTTCGGGGGCACGTCTGGAATTCCGCTAGTTCTGAACTATTCGGGGTTGGAAAAAAAGTTCACTACTAGCAGAACTCGGACTTGCACCCGGCTCTCCACGAGACGACCCGCCGGAGAGCGCCAGGCCACGCGGCGCGGCGCGGGGCGGGGGTAGGCTGTGGCGCGCGACCCGCCGCTCGCCCGTGTTTTGTCTGGAAGGAGGGGAGCGCGAGGGGTCGCTGTGCAGCTGACAGGCCCGGTTTCGATGTGTCTTGTTTTGTTTGTTTTTTTTTTGCTTGGGTACTTGTTAGTTTGACACGCGATAACGGGAATGTTTTATTGCTTCCAGCCAAAAAATACTCATAATTCTAATCCCACGAATGCTTCTTGAAAGTGATTATCAATACAATTGATCACAATGGCAAATACTGACGCTGATTGGTAGCTTGAAGGCAGGTTAGGGTTTCTCATTTTGAGATCGACAGTCGCTTTAGATTTTGTAAAGCACCAGTTTCATTATTTTTCAGAACCCGACTGAGTCATCGGTGACTTTGATGTTTGCAGAATGATTTATGATGATATTTTTTTGTTTGGCGTTACGATGCCTATGCTGTTGAAAGGACTGGAACTCGTTTTGCATTGATTAGTCTCGGTGCCCGCACGAGCGGAATGAGATCTGACCGATGCGCGCGGTCAGTGAGTCCAACTGTCCACCCGGAAACTGCAGCGGAACCGGGCCCAGAGAGTCGGGGGGTGCGTGCAGACAGACGCGGGGACAGTTCAAATCTGTTTCATATCGGCCTCACGTCTCTTGGCCCTGAGCGCCTTGTTTCCGGTCCTGCAGCAGCGCTGTTCGAAAATGAACAGATACTCTCGCGCCCATCCTGCGGCACGCGGACGGAGCTGGACACGCGGTGTGACGCAGGGTGACGCAGGGCATTTTCTGTGACGCATGAGCCTGCGAGTGCTCCGTCCTCTGCGCGCTGGGCCTGCGGGGCTCGGCTCGGCTCGGAGGTGCAGGAGAGGAACTGGCCCGTCTGCGGTGCTGATCTTATCCCCTTCTCCTCCTCAGCGGATTCTGTCCGTCCTTGTCTTGTCAATGAGGGTCTCCGGAGGGGAACACGTGGGAACAAGGTAGGAAACCGGTGTCTCGTGTGTGTGTGTGTGTGTGTGTGTGTGTGTGTGTGTGGTCGGGCTAATTAAGACACTCCAAGGGGTAACAGTGACCCCACAAAGTAATATACTGTTACTGCAAGCACTGCTGCTGACATTACTACTATTAATAATTTTAGAACAGCTGCTGCTATTGTTAGTAACTACCATTGCCTCTGCTACTGTTAGTAATTCTACCAATTGTAAGTAGTGCTCTTGCCACTGCTGCTCCTCCTGTTAGTATTTTTCTTACCGCTGCTCTTTCTAGTAAACGTACGACTGCATTACTGTCTCTACTCGTGCATCTCCTGCTACAGCCTCCACTTGAACTGCTGACGCTACTTCTGCTGCTACCATTCCCTGTCGTATGACGCTGGTGAGCTTCCGTTACACCGAAGGGCAATCCTGTCTGTCTCGCTTTCTGCAGATTTCTCTAAATGCCTCGTAAAGACACTGAGCTGAGGCACCACTGCGGTCTGGGGGCCCCACCATGGCTGTGGGCATCAGGGAACCGGACGTGTTTCTCAGGACGGGCGTTCCGAGATCTGCAGAGAGCACAAGGGATCGGCAGACGGCAGAAAGTGCCCCACAGCTGCCCTGCGACCGATCTTACACATCTGCTCACTGGGTGTGAGATGAGGGGTTCGTTTTTAGGCCGTGGCTGCAATGTCTTCTGACATTTGCAGGTTGCTCCTAGGGTCACCCCTCGACACTCTGACCCCTGACCCCTGTGAGGACAGCACCCTTCCTCGCTGTGCTGTGAGACAGGAGATTGAGCCCCGGGTTCTGGCTGCCCTGCGGCCCCCATCTGAGCTCTCAGCACCTGGGGTGATGCTTCAGCTCCTGCGCCCCGGTCTCCTGTGAGTCTGGCAACAGAGAGTGTGGAGCAACGCGAGTCCAGTGAGGGAGAACCCCCGAGAATGGCGGTGTGCGGCTGGGGGTGATGTCATTCTCCGCGTCTTTCATTGACGCGGAGCTGTAGACCGTCAGGGCAGTGGTTAGTGCTGCTGCTTCACAAGTGGGGCCTGGGGTCAATTCCAGACGCGGGGTGCTGTCTGGGTGGAGTTTGCATGTTCTCCCCGTGTTTGACTGGGTTTCCTCCTGCGGTCCGAAGACGTGCTGATGGGTTAACTGGCGTCTGGGGAAACGGGCCCTGTGGTGTGAGTGTGCCTGTGTGTGTACCCCGCCTGGCTCCTGTTGCCCACTGCCCCGGCTCCCCCTGTACTGGATGAAAGCGGTTGTGAAATGGGTGGGTTGATGGATGTAGAACAGTAGCCGGGCTTTGGAAAAAACGGAAGGTCGTGCACATGAGCGGAAACACCTCTGAGAGTCTCCCCTCTCCCTCCTTGTGACCTGCCGGGCTGGGGTCCCGATCCAGACACACGCCAGACACGGGTCGTTCGTCTTCCTGCCCGCACTGCTGCAGGGTGCACGGGGAGCCCTGCCCTGCACCCCGTTTTCAACGCCGCAGCGCCACATCCAGACACGTCATCCTTCCAGCCTGCTGCACTCCCCCCCCCCCCGCCCCCCCCCAAAAACACACGCTCGCCCTCCTCCCTCTGTGTACCCAACAGGTCGGCAGCTGGCCGGACCGCGGCCCGCCCTGGAGATTGGCACGGGGGCCTCCTTCAGGTTGCCAGTCCAGCCCGTCAGCACCTTTACCCAGAACCTCGGGGCCTGTGCCCCAGCCCACACCTGGCTAAAGGAGCCGACCCGGAATCGACCTGGGCTGCTGACCTCTGACCTCTGATGTGGGGAGCCGGTGACTGGCTGCTGTGGCAGGGGGTGTGGAGGGGAGGGACAGGAAGGTGTCCATCGATGCTTCACGGTTTGGGGTTTGCTTGGTTTCTGGGTCAAAGCGTCTCGCTCCGTTGTCTGGGAGCAGCTGTTGTTTTGTTGTTCAGTTAAACTGAATAGAAGCAAATTCTTTAAGCCCAGCCCAACACACAGCTGGTATCCACGAGCGGATCAATAAACAACCGGGCTTGAACTGGGAGAATTACAGGGGAATGCACAGCTGCCTGTCTTCTTGCTTCAGGCATCCTTACCTACTAATTGTGTCACTACCTGCTCAATCAGATTAAAGCCCAGCTTTGCTCAGACCATTTATTTTCTCATGCTAGAAATGCATGATGTGCTTTTTTTTTTTTTAGAATTCCCTACTGGTGCTAAAACTAGACAAGTTATGCTGCTTCATCTTTTGCAGGCAGTTTTGCTTGCAGAGTTGTTTTTGTTTTGTTTTTTAATCTGAGCCCCTGAGGCATGCTGGGAAGAGGGGTCCACGCGTTTCTGTGCGGCCCAGGACAGCCAAACTCCCGCCAAGCAGCAATCCACAACAGCGTTGAAAAGAAATGCTTGCAGAAGAATTGTAACTTTCCCCCATGTGTCTGTGTGTCTTCCTGTGCGTTTGGTGGATTGAAACTATGACTTTTTCTGAAGCCATGTGTGACTTTCCTAATTTAACATCAAAAACAAGGGCCAACAAAAACATTATTTCCATTGCATCCCAGAAATCTGATGATGACATATTATCGTTGTTCGAAATTGCTGAAACATGTGAAAAACAATCATTGAAATAAATAAAATATTAAAATCTCAGAACTCCCTAAGAACTTGGGGTCTTTCTTCCCTGTGAGATACCCACACAATGAGGGTGGTCAAAATCCTGCCGGACAACAATTAAAAGGACTAATTAATCAATTAATGGTTGAATCAAGCCATGAAACATGAAACTGAAATTAAACAGGAACTGGAACGAAAAACTGATGACACTGGGCTGATGGAGACCCAGACAGGGGCATCCTGGACCGCCCCCCGAAACAGCTTGTGGGGTTTTTCTGTCAGGCGGGGGTCAAGGACTCCCAAGAAAACCAGACCAGGCCGCAATTCATTTTTTTGTTCTTTTTTAAAGATGCACCTTTCATTACAGATCTCTTTACTGCAGTAAACACCTGTCACAGCTACTACAATTATAGCAACGGTGTTTTCATAAGCACAGTACCCATACATTCGTAAAAAGCAAAGTGAGAAGAAATGATTTTTTTTCTCTCTTTCCTTTCACATTATTTACAATATACAGGAGCGGTTCATCCGAAAACAGAACCCGGTTCGGAATGAGCGGAGAAACAGGAATAAAATCTGGTGCTTCGGTTCTCTCTAGCGAAGTAGCAACAGAATTGTCCAGGCCAACTGACCACCTGAGGCTCCCTCCCATAATAGAATGATCTAGATCCGGGATGGCCAGCCCTGGTCCTACAGAGCTACTGTCCAGCCGGACGTACAGGTCGCCTGCACATCCTCAGTTTGCACAGACTTGGAACAATTTTGTTTTGACCACTAAATCTGGAGATTTGGTCAGTTAAGCTGTTTAGAGACCATCTGAATCGAAAGTGCCGACATCCTGTTGTTCTTAATAATAATAATAATAATAATAATAATAATAATAATAATTGCTTGCACTTATATAGCCCTTTTCTGGACACTCCACTCAAAGCACTTTACAGGTAATGGGGACTCCCCTCCAACACCACCAATGTGCAGCCCCACCTGGATGATGGTTGATTAAGCACCACACATTACTTTGACGGACTGACTTAATTGAACTAACTAGCTGATTAAAATCGATCAAAACTCACACGTTCCAAGTGTTGCAAACCGATGATTTTAGGGGTGAACCATAAGGCCGGCTGGACTGTGGCTCTCCGGGACCAGGGCTGGCCAACCTCTGGATTAGCCAGATCATTTAGGAAGATAAACGTGTGGGCAGCATGGAGGTGGAGTGGTTAGCTTTGCTGCCTAGCAGCGCGGGGGTCCTGCTTTCAGTTCCTAGGGGGCTGTCTGTGTGGAGTCTGTATGCTCTCCCTGTGTTTGTGTGGGTGTCCTCCAGGTGCCCTGGGTTCCTCCTGCAGCCCAAAGACATGCTGGTGGATTAACTGGCTGCTGGGAAAACTGGCCCTGGCGTGAGTGTGTCTGTGTGTGTGTCTGTGTGTGCCCTGCGATGGACTGGCGTCCCTTCCAGGGGGTGCCCTGCCGTGCGCCTGTTGCTTGCTGGGACAGTCTCTGGCTCCCCCGCCAGCCTGAATTGGCTAAAGAGGTTAGAAAATGTAAGGATGGAAGACAAGCAGGTGATCACTAATTTTACTTAACCCTGAAAACTGTTTTAATGCAATTTTCCAAATAGAATTGATCATCACCTTTACTGCTTTACTGTGAGGCAAGAAAAATGACAGCCACAGCAAATCATCGTAACTGATGCTTCTGCCTAAATGAGCTTATCGACAAAGAGACCCCCACCCATCTAGAAATCCTTAAGTCTTTTACTCCTATGTAACGATAAAATAAAGAAATCAATAAAGTGTGTGTGATTACTTATTGGATGGATATGGATCCAATACTACTTATTGGATGAGGATTTCGAAGGACCCGCATCACTGTGAGTTATGAGGGGCCCATGTGTGATGGCTTTTCCTCTATGTGTGAAAGGATCAACAGCGCCGGCCCTGTGGCTGACCTGAGAGGTGCGGCCTCTGTCAGGGGTCGCATACGGGGGGGGGGGGGCTTGATTCAGAGGGTTAAGGGGCACTGTAGCACCGCTCGCCCCCTTTTATAAAACGCAGTACGTGTGCCTCTCCCATTTTCTTCAGGCACGAGCGGAGGACGATGCTTTCTGCGTGCGGCCCAGGGTGCGAGACGGAGAGGGGGAGAGAGGGATGCGGTGGGCGGTGAGCTGGCCGGGCTGTGGGTTGCGTAGTGTGGCACCAGTCCCAGGAGAAAGAGATTGGGGGGCCCCCCTCTTACGCGGGGGCCACCTGACTGCTGGAGACGGAGGAGACCTGGGTGGTCTGAGAAGAGGAGTCCTCTTCCTCCCCGAACGGGCTCTTCCCGCAGAAAACCATCTTCAACATGCAGGAGCGGAACTGCGGGGCAGGGAGAGAGACATTGGGACCGTTTCTAACGGGCCTCGGGTGCTGTCTTGTCCGACCCGCCGGGGCTCGCTGGGTCTGCTCTCCTGTCTGCGCCCAGCGCATCTCTGGGGGTACTGGGAGGCGCCCGAGAAAGGACGGAGCAAATCCCAGCCGGGGACAAACCGGACCCCCGAACACAGGCTTTCCTTCTTCGTTTCAGACCTCCCTCTTCCTGCTGTCCCGCTGTCTTCCTCACTCCCCCCGCTCCCCCACCTCGTCTCCCGCTTCGCCCTCCCCCCTCCGCCCTGCCCCCAGCCCCTCACCTGCTTGTTCATGTAGACGTAGATGATGGGGTTGTAGACGGTGGAGGCCTTGCAGAAGACGTTGGGGATGGTGGCCAGGCGCAGGTCGAAGCTCTCCCCGCGGTGCGTGATGACCCACAGCGCGAAGCTGGTGTAGGGCAGCCAGCACGCCAGGAAGCCCATCACCATCACCACCACCATCTTGGTCACCTCCCGCTCGGCCTTCTGGGTCGTGGCAGACTGCTCCTGAGCCTTGGCCACCTAAGAGACATGGAGAGAGAGGGGCAGATACTCACTCACACACCACACTGCACTGAGACTGAGAGAGGGGGGCCGATGCACACTCACACCACACACTGCACTGAGACTGAGAGAGGGGGGCCGATAC